TTTTCTCAGGCGCTTTTAGCTAACTCATCACAGTTTTAAAACTGAGACCATTCCATACAGCATCCTGGTTATTTTTGCCAAGATTATCTAAAGAATCAGGTATAAAACCATACAAAGGGCAAGTTGTATAGCAAACAATGTGGGCTTTGTGAATAATTGGACAGCCTTCTGGGGAAAACCTGGTCTAGGTTTTCCCCAGAAGGCTGTCCAATTATTCACAAAGCCCACATTGTTTGCTATACAACTTGCCCTTTGTATGGTTTTATACCTGATTCTTTAGANCTCAGGCTCCGGCAGCAACTTCGTGAGCGGCAACTTCGTAAGGCACTCTTGAGGGCATCTTGTCAAATTGTGTCATCTTCGTGTTATCATCGGTGCCATTGGGCATTCGCTCTCACTCTGATCGGGGCTAATGCGAATGCCCGATGGCACCGATGATAACAAGATGCCCTCACGATGGCCTTACGAAGGGAAAAATTGACACACAAATTAAAAACAAAAATGAACCTTCGCAAGGTCCTTCGGCAATTTTTTGGCATGCCAAAGATTTTGCCACCGCTCACGAAGTTGCTGCCGGAGCCTGAGAAACTCCACCGGCGGTCATACGATGGCTTAAGATGCCCTCACGAATGGCCCGATGTTGTTACGATCAGAGCCAAATTTGAACTTTTCCTTTATCGTGTGTCCATCTGGTTGTTTTATTGCACAACAAAATCATGTAAACATATTATGTAAATAACCCAATTTGTGTTCTGTGAAACTGAAAAGGATATAATATATTATTTTGAAGGCGAGTTGACAGGAAGTTGTTGTTGCTATGGAAACAACATGACGGAGAAAACTTAATATCTTCTACATACAGTATAAAGACGGATAAAGTAAATATCAGTACAGTATCATAATACTTTAACATAATTGTTTGTGTTACTTTCGTTGCAGTTGTATGTCTTAAATGTAATGTAAATGTTGCCTTTGTGTGTGGTTCGGGGCCATCTTCGTGCGAAATTCACAATTCCATATTCGTGTGTCCATCGGGTGTCAATTTCGGGACAGTGTGACGCGGGCTGAAATGAATGTAGACCCTGTGAAAGCGTTACGTTTTGTCTGTGGCAATCTCGTTTTCTTGCAACCAGAAGTGACACAAGAGGAACAATCGTTAGCTAACTGTCATTAACTGAGAACACAGTAAAAAAAATGAATAGTCTTAACATTAGTAGAACAATCAGATAGATGGTGACAACCAATCAATAATGAGGTAAACAAACCCTGAAGCATACCGTGCTTTTGGTTTATTTTACTCAAAATGGGACATTAGATACAGTATCTGAATGAACATCATGCTGTATTGAAGAAGACCTGTAACTAGTGATTGAGACCATAAACTTGTCAGGAAAATGTTTACCGAGGTGTTAAATAAAGTGAGAAGATGTGTATTTTTCTCGTAGACTTCTATAAAAACAGACAAATGCAAGTTTTAGGTACTTCCTCATTGGCTTTACTTTTCAGAGGTTGCTGCTTGTGGAAAACACACTGCATTTAAAGAGATGCCATAATGCAAAAATTACTCAGCAATAAGTTTTGTGCAAAAATGCAAACTAGAGCCTTCAAAATGTTTGAGCACTTCTGGGACTCAAAAACGAGTTTGTTCAAGGTGTGCTTTGGATATGAATACATGTATACATTCATACGTATTGAGGGCTTTCTGTCAAAGGCTTGAGGCCAAATGACATCATCTTATTTTTAGATATAGCATGATGATACCATTACAACAAAGGCATTGATTACTAGCAAGGGCCACTCCACAACAACATGTTTTTTTGAAGATTGAAATGGAAATTCAGGAGTATAGCATTTTGATGGAGGAGATTTGGTCAGAAGAAGGATGTTTTCTGGGAGGTTGGTATGGGAGGAGGTACCAACGAAAGGTCGGAGGGACAACCATTGTGGGTTCTGTGTGTGGTGCATGCTTCTGTCCAAGTGGATAACAGGCACCAGACATTACCTACGGTTAAGGTTAGAAACGTGGGAGAGGTATGAACAAGATTGAGTAGGAAGAGATAAAGGGAGACGGGAACAGAAGTTGAATGGATTAAGGGATGTGGGTTTGGATTAGGAAGAAAGGGAAATTGGTGAATAGAAAGGAAAGGGAGGAGTCCATGGTATGATTCTGATCATTATTATTACAAAATCCAGCCCATCCTTTTGTTTAAATGCCAGTCCATCCTAACGCGTGGACTCTGCTATCAGTACTGAAGGTGGGTTCACCATATGGAGAGGACCAAAAGCCATGACTCCCTATTAATGGTATCATGGAACAGAGATCTTTTAGGCAACCACTGGCCTCAATAACTTCAGCCTCCGAGGCTAACAGACACCACCTTCACACACATTCCCATAATATGCTGGCAAACAATTTGAAACAGGATTTAAGCTAATGCTGACGCCTTCTGTCCATGTTCTGCCCCCGCCAATGCAGTCATCAGCTTGGGACTGGATGAGCAGCAGCTGCCAGGAAATATGACAAGAACCTAGTTAGATATTGAGAACTATTGTCGTTTAAAAGAACCGGTTAGCCCTGTGTGTTGTGATGCTGGTTATGTGTGACAGGCAAGCTACCGCCTGGCTGGAGGTTCCAATTTACAGAGCTCATAGCCACTGTTTATGTCCGTGAAAGCATATACCTTCATGAAAAACAAGGAAACAGAGAATAGTGCAAAGGAGAACTAATTTACGTGTCTTTCTGACCCATTTGACCTCTTTCAATCAACATAAGGAAAAGAAAAAAAGAGTTATACCTCAACTCTGACGTCAGTAGCGCTGATTGATTTGTACACCCACAGCCTTCCCAGGATTCCAATTATCACCAGAAAACCTTCAATGGCATGTTTATGTGACTAATTGTTGGATTGGATGTACATATGTGCCTGTTTGTGTGCTCATTAAGGTGTGTATATTAACTTTTCTGTGAAAACATGGAGCTTATCGGTGTAAAAAAGTTATTATTGTATCAAATGAGACCCTGTGGGTGAAGTGGATCTAAATGGGGAAGCGCTACTCAGTAATTGATCGATTGCTCCACATTTGACACACAGGGTTAATCTACTCGTTGGTATGTGTGTGTGTGTGTGTGTGTGTGTGTGTGTGTGTGTGTGTGTGTGTGTGTGTGTGTGTGTGTGTGTGTTTTCTGGGTCAGGCCACCCATTAACAAAACCATGTCAATCACTTGTGATCGAACAATAAACCTGTGCAACATATCTTCAAATTGGATTCCTCTCAACGACACGTATTCCCAGTTGTGGAGATGAAAAAACACAGAATCTTTCAACTTGATATCGTGATTATAATTTCCCCCTTTTTTGAAAATATCACACTGAGACACATCTAAAATATTAAAGCTGTTGACTGGTTGGTTATGGCCTTGGCCGTCATGCATTTGTAGTGATTGTTTAAAATGTAGTAGTTGTTCTGACTCAATAGCATGTTCTCCTCTCAGTCAGAAACCATGTTTTTCCTGATTACTGCGACCAGAAAGGCACCACACAATACCATTATCTTGCAACGTTAACAAAAGTGAAACACAAAGTTTCGGAGGGATTTCAAGTGACAACACTCAATGTCCTCATTTAGAGTTTAAATCTTTTTACCAGTTAACCTCAGGACGCGGTACCAGTAACGACAATCCATACCCGGAATATAGAGCTAAACTGACACTTCAGATGTGTCCATATCTTCCCTGATTATTGCGACAACACACATGCAGCTTAAATCGATCAAACAAAAAAAGTCAAACATAATTCCTTTTCATAACCCTTTAGTTTGTCTTCCCCACAGCCCATTCTATACCCTTCCACCCAGCTTCATGAAACTCAAGCCAGAAGCTTTTCTGCAACTCTGCTGACAGATAAACAAAGCCAAAGATGTTACCTCCTTAGCAGGCATGAGGCAAAGAGATAACCTAAGCCTAAAGCAGGCAGGTATGGTATTACCATAGAGAAAAACTGCATTGTGGGGGTAAATTCACTAAACGAGAAGAATTCCCATATCTTTAAAGCCGGTGCCTTCGTTATTCACACTGCTTTGACAAAATAAGTGTCAGCTGCTTCCTGGTGGTTTATCCATTTATCTATTACAATTAGCTGAAACGCCTTCAAAGGTCTACCAGTGTTACGTTATTTATTGCTTTACAAGAGTAATGGTGGGAGTGTTTATGTATATTTGGATCTTGAGAAGGAATACAATGACTACATATATTACCTCAACGTTAGCAGGAGCTCTTCATCATCTGCCATTGACACCCTGATATAAGACTGGTGGATAGCCCATTGTGGACATTATCCTGAAAAATATCTGACATCTCTTCGCAGCGCTACCATCCCAGTCCCTCATGGCTGCTGTTTGAACATTCAAATGTGATTCTCAAAGTAAAAGAAGTAGTAAAAGTTGACTTTGTGACATCAAACAAGAAGGCAAGGATAGTCATTTTCCCTTTTTCATCCATTAACTACATTTCAGGGTTGAAAAATCATATTTAATGACTGTTGAATGACCTTTTTTAATATGTGATTACAAATAAATGTTTTTCGTTATAAAATAAACATGTCAAGAGAGATTTTTAGTCACACAAATCCTGGTCAATTTCCATGCTCAGAGTAAACATCTATAGATCTGTTTACCTCAGGACAGCATATACTGACAACACAGGTAAAAACAATCTGTAACTTGCTTATTGAACTGCCTTTGGTCCATTTTCTGCACTGGTGATGCTTTTGTTGCCTAACCTGTCTAATTCTTTCGATAAAGTGAATCATGTCAGTTAATGCAGCGTGTCCTTGATAGTGCACAGGGCCCTAATGTGTCTGACTGGCTGCAAAACACACCTAGGCTGATGGCAATTCCATACACAGCTCTCTGATTTACGTGACATCAGGTTTTTTTCCCATTTGTCAATTCTACACTTGTCCATCTGAGGCACACGCACTCTTCAAGGACACACTGGACAGTGAATGTGAATATGACATAGGTCTAGCATTTTAAAATCTGTTCTTAAATATATCGGATGATACATCAATCTAGCCACGTTGAGACAAATCTATCAATACATCCATCTATCTATAGCTCAAGGGTCAAGGAGATTGAAAGCATACGCAACAAACTTTCCTTACCACCTCAGGTACAATCCACAGCAAAGTGTGTTGGCTAGAACTTGAGAAATGTAAACTGAAAGGTCGCTGGGGAAGCATCCATGAAGCTACAGTATAAATCTGTTCCCAAAAGCTTTTGTAGTTCAGGCCGTCTTTGATGATGGTCTGAACTTTGAACGACACTAATCTTGAGCAACATTTTAAGGAAACTTTGTTACTATGTGTACAAAGAATCTGAAAAACTAAGTAGTATAACTAGCCCCTACATATATACTACACTGAACAAAAATATAAACGCAACACTTTTGTTTTTGCCCCCATTTTTCATGAGATGAACTCAAAGATCTAAAACATTTTCTATATACACAAAATAATAATTTCTCTCAAATATTGTTCACAAATCTGAAAAAATCTGTGATAGTGAGCACTTCTCCTTTGCCGAGATAATCCATCCCACCTCACAGGTGTGGCATATCAAGATGCTGATTAGACAGCATGATTATTGCACAGGTGTGCCTTAGGCTGGCCACAATAAAAGGCCACTCTGAAACGTGCAGTTTTGCTTTATTGGGGGTGTCTGGGGGGGTCCGAAAACCAGTCAGTATCTGGTGTGAGGGTTAGGATTAGGGTTAGGGTTAGGGTTAGGGTAATGTTGTGAATCGAGTGGCCCATGGTGGTGGTGGGGTTATGGTATGGGCAGGCGTATGT